AAAAAAAAAAAAAAACAGAGAGAAAGAGAGGAAAGACACTCAGTTATAATACACATTGCACAAAAGCACAAAACTTAAAATTAATATATGTTATATAATAAATGTCTCTTCTGTATATATAGTGTGTATATATATATAATATATACATATACCCACCGTAAATAGACTTATTATGTATTTGACATTTGTATATTGCGTGCGATTAATTTGAACAACCATAAACAACATTTCTATTTGATTGAAATATATATTATTAATTTCATTTTCGAATTTGTTCTTTTTTTTTTTTTGTTTATCATCATTCAAATTAATTGCAACAATCGTAACTTAGAAATAATACTTAACAAAAACTTAAGGATAATACAAATACAATTACAGGATATTTAGAATCATCCGGTTGATGAATATTAAACCCCCATTAACTGCCACGATCCCCACATTTGGGGATTTTTTGAAAAAAAAAAAAAAAAAAAAAACCTAATGAAACTTAGTAGTTTGAAATAAATTAAAAATCTGTTTAAATTTTGAAATAGTCATCAACCATGGACGATGGAAGAAGGACGATGGATGATCTTTCACGCTTGGCAATTGAAATGGAAAATTGATTGATTGATTGATTTTAGAAAAACAGAAAGAAATAAAATTAAAAAAAAAAAAAATCAAGGATAAACAAATAAATGATAATTTAAAAAACGCGTATGATAGAATTATTTGCGAGAAACAAAAAAACAAAGAAACAAAACGAAAAAAAATGAAAATGACGAATAGATGAGACACACTGTAGTTATTAACAAAAAAAGTTATATATATATATATATATATATATATACTAATACGTGTGTAAAATATTAAAAATATACTTTTCTCTCTCTTTCTCTCTTTTTTTTCTCTTTCTCTTTCTCTCTCTCTTTTTCTTTCTCTCTTTCATATGCCAATCAAATTGGAACCGTTTAAGAAAAATAATGTTACATTGTTACATATATATCTATATATATTGTTTATACGCGTACTATTATTATTATTTTTTTTTTATATATCTCTCTATATGGGGTTTTTCCATTCAAGCCAAGTGAGAAGAAGAAGAAGAAGAAGAAGAAGAAGAAGAAGAAGAAATTTTGACAAGGATGATCGACGATGTCGTATGGTGTGAAATAAATAAACAAAGACCAGTCCTTGAATGGAAAAACATTTATTTACTACTTTATCATAATAATCAAATCATTCATCATATTCTTCATCATTATATTTAATCAATCATTATCCCAATCATCATCATCATCATCATCATCATCATCATCATCATCATCATCTTCATCATCATTATCATCATTCTTTATCATAATACCATCAGCTAAATAATTCAGGACGATTACAAATATATAAAACCAACACGCGTATTCCTTAAAACTGAGAGAGAAAAAAGGGAAAAGCAGACGACGACAATAGAACAAAAAAGAAAAAAAAAACTTAAATAAATAAAATATGATTATATATCTTTTCAAAAAATAATAATAATAATAATAATAATAATAATTAGAGACCCTATTAGGAGGGACGCGCCATGTAGATTGCAAGGCTGAAAATGTGAGGGGGGGACAGCTTCCGTTGCATCGCGCGCAGCCAATTTTATCTTTAGTATGTATTAAAACGGCTGTGGTTAATTTAAGTTTCGAATACTTATTATAGTTTTTATTGTGATATTTATATTTAAATGTTTTTGTTTTTTTTTTATTTTTTTTTTAGTAGTTTTCTATAAGTGTAAGTTTAATTTACTCATTTAATAATTACAACAAGTGTATAAATGTACAAAACCTAACCTGTAACTTATCGTTTGAATCATTCGCGCGCAATCACGTGACTAAACGACAAAACAGTTCCAGTCCCCCATCAATGTACATGGCGCGTCCCTCCTATAGGGGGTGTTCTCTAATAATAATAAGTATATGACGACATATTGGAAAAAGTCGAGAACAAAGTGTAAAAATTTTTAAATTAAACAAAAAAAATAATAAATAAAAACAAGAACAAAAAAAAAGAGAGAAGAAAAAAGAAAGAAAGAAAGAAAGAATGAATTTAAACACTTGTTTTATGTTTTTAACTCTCTTTGCGGCACAGAATAATTTCAGATAATAAATCAAATAACTACCACCAGCCCCTAAAATGTTGCATACAAAATTTGATTTACCTTTTAAATGTAAACAATATTTACATATTTTTTTATTAACCCTTTCGTTAACTACAAACCACTATAGTGGCCCTCCATAAGATACCACTGAGATACTACGAGCCATTATGATGGCGGAAGAAGGGTTACCAAAATATTTGGAAGGCAAGTGGAGTGAACAAGAGAGGAAGAGAAGAGTGGCGAGGTTCAAAGATTAGGGAATGAGATGAGGGAAGGATGATACTGGGAGGAGGAGGAGGAGGAGGAGGAGGANGGAGGAGGAGGAGGAGGAGAGGAGAGGAGACGTTACAGGGTGTGTGGATGAGAGAGAGAGAGAGAGAGAGAGACGTAGGAGCAGCATTTGTTGGAAGGTTGTACAGTTGAAGTAGAGTCTCATAAAACATCGCTCGTAACGAAAGGGTTAATAACCAATTGTTTATGCATAAATAAAATGAAATAGAAACTTATGAGAAGCACACGTGTAGAAATTGCAATAATATTTTGAGATTGGGATTAAAAATGTCCTGCTCGTGCATTACGATGTATCAAAAATGATGGGACACTTTTAATCCCACAAAGTGCCTCTAAAGAGTTAAAATAAATCTTCTTACAATATTCTATAATAATAATATTAATAATAATAATCAAATATATATAAACTACTACGTAATATAACAAACAAACAAACAAACAAAAAAATGGATCACTTAATTTACGATGAAAGCTACAACAAAATAAAATTGAACAACAAATTTTGTCATCACGCAAAATTGGTGTAAAAAAAAAAAAAAGCAGCAGCAGATTTCTTTTTTTTTTTTTTTTTCAAACACACTCTCTCTTTCCATTTGTAATTGCCCCGTTAAAAAAAACTTTGGTGCCTTTCACAATTATTTTCTTTTCTTTTTTATTCTTCTTTCTTTAGTACGTTGTCTTTCCTTTCCTTTTCTTTTCTTTTCTTTTTTTTTTGGTTGGTTGGTTAATTCTTACGTCGTTACATAAAAATTACCTTCCTTTTTTTTTTGTTCCCTTTTTTTTCTTCTTTTTTTTTTTTTTTTCTTTCGAATAATCCAAAATCATTTTCAATTACGTAAAAAAAAAAAAAAAAAAAACAAATTGATGCAATTTATCATCAAAGGAAACAACGCGATTACTAAATGGACTTGTTAAATTAAATAACATGAAAACCATCAAATTTCAAACAAAATATCTAATTCAACTATTATAAAATTCTAATGGAAAAAAAAAAAAACGCATATTATGATAATTGTGTTAAGAACACTGAAATCATGTGTTACAATCCTTGCAATATATCATTGTCAGCAGCAATACCATTATAATCATCATAATCATCATCACCATCATCATAATCATCATCATCATCACCATAATTATAATTATAATCATAAACATAAATAATCAACGTTATTAACGATAAAAAACATACCATCATATTTTACAATTATTAGCAGTTGATCAAGTGTACAAGTGAGTATATAATATATTTATATATACATATATCTATATATGTATATATATATATAT